AGTCATGATTCTGCAATTTGTGTGTCAGATCAACGGAGGAGGATTTAGGCTTTTATTTGCTACTGCTGCTCATTATTTTATTTTATTGGTTTTTTTAATGAAAGTCTTTTACGACATTTCCTCCTAATTCGTTAAATAATTTTGGGTTTGGCTTAATTCATTATTTCTATATTATTTTTTCATAAAAACTATTTTAATTTTAACATTTTATTTGAATTAAATTATGGATAAAGTATAGTAATGGTCACTAAACTTTTCTAAAACTTTCATTTAGGTCTCCTAACTTTTAAAACTTGCAATACAGTCCTCCAACATTTAATTCGTTTACAATATGGTCTCTGTCGTTAGTATGTTTGCAATATGGTCACTGAACTTTTCAGGCGCTTGCATTTAGATCCCCCAACTTTTAGAACTTGCAACACAATCCTCAATTTCATTCTAAACTCCAAATTCCTTTTTAATCTCGAATTTCCTTTTTCGCTCATCTCTTCTCATTTCCAGCGTAACTTTTCAATCGGGAAAGCATGAGAAATTCTAGTCTAACTTTGAATTATGTGGAGGTGTTGACTTGAATAAGGGTCCATTGAGAGAAGACCCGACCAAGGGACTATCGAGACCATCAACGATTCAATGTGTAATGTTAGATACATGTCATCTAAGGTGAAACATAGATGTTTGATGAAATGCTTGTGAGAAAAAAATGGGGTTGGAAATGCAGAGTTGATAAATACTAATAAGATAAACTAAGTATCATTGTTGAAACTCACCAACAAAGCTGAAACTTTTTTGTATAAATGACATATAATAATTTATTCGTTTGATCCTTGTGGTTAAAGATTTTCCAACAGATGATCAAATATAATAAAATCCCAAACAACACATTCACCTCTCAGTCTCTTTCGCTCACATGCACTCTCGTTTGGTTTTTGTTCTTTAATTTTCCGCCATGTAAAATTGTAAACACAAGCAGTGTTCTGTCTTTCAGCTTTTTATTTACAAAAAAAATGGAGGAAGAATTGCTGGAACGCAACACCGATTGCGTTTATTTCTTAGCCTCTCCCCTCACTTTGCAAAATTGTATTTATTTTCTCTTTTGGGCTATACGGAAGTAAGTTTTTATTCTTTCGCACTTTCCTATTTTCAGCTCGCATTGTGTGTTTTTTGTTGAAATTTTATGTTTCTGGAACTACATGTCAATGATCAGGATATTCAATGTTAGTTTTGAACCAAAACCATCTAATTTTCTTTCTTTGTTCTTAATCAAAACTTTTAGTTCTCCTTATGGAAGATATTCAGTCCATCAGAATAAAAGTGAAAGAGGGTCCTAGGCTAATTTTTTTGATCTTCTTGTTTGGTTTTTCTTTAAATCAGGGAATTGGTTGTGAGTATCGACATAATGAAATTACAAGGCTCAATCCGAGAGACTAGTGGTACTATTTTACTGGGAATTTTATTGATTCAGCCTATGGTTTTCGGTGTCATGTGAGCTCGTATTATTTTTTATAAGTTCATGTTGATTATGGGACTGATATATCATGAACGAATTAGATTTTTTTTACATGTTTTGGAAATTTTACAGTTGAATTGTATTAAATTATAGCTTTAGAAGACAATTCTGCATGCACGCAACTCGCAAGGCATCATGACAGGGTAGTATATTTGGAGCAGCTACTTGACCCTGTCATGATGCCTTTCAAGTTGCGAAAGAGACTGAGAGGTGAATGCGTTGTTTGGGATTTCATTATATTTGATCATCTATTGGAAAATCTTTAACCACAAGGATTAGACGAAGAAATTATCATATGCCATTTATACAAAATAATTTCAGCTTTGTTGGTGACTTTCAACAATGATATTTAGTTCATCTTAGTAGTATTTATCAACTCTACATTTCTAACCCCATTTTTTTCTCACAAGCATTTCATCGAACATCTATGCTTCACCTGAGATGACTTGTATCTAACATTACACCTTGAATCATTGATGGTCTCGATAGTCCCTTGGTCGAGTCTTCTCTCAATGGACCCTTATTCAAGTCAAAACCTCCACATAATTCAAAGTTAGATTAGAATTTTCCATGCATCCCAAACTGAAAAGTTACGCTGGAAATGAGATGAGAAGAGCGAAAAAGGAAATTCGAGATCGAAAAGGAATTTGAGGTTTATAATGAAATTGAGGATTATGTTGCAAGTTTTAAAAGTTGAGGGACCTAAATGCAAGCACCTGAAAAGTTCAGTGACCATATTGCAAACGTACTAACGGCAGTGTAACAGCGGGGACCATATTGCAAACGAACTAAATGTTGGAGGATTGTATTGCAAGTTTTAAAAGTTGAGGGACCTAAATGAAAGTTTTAGAAAAGTTCAATGACCATTACTATACTTTACCCTTAAATTAAATTAAAAAGTATTTCAGTTCAGTTTTAGTAGATTTATTTACTTAACAATGAAACTAAAAGTAAATCAAATTTAATAAAGCTAACCGAAATCAAATTAAATTATTGTGATTTCAATCGTTTTTTTTTATTTTTTAAGTTAACTATACTATATGTTCTCAAACTATAACTTTTATTCTAAATTGGTCCTTAAATTTTTGAACATTTTAGTTTCATATTTAAATTATAACTCTTATTCCTAGCTCTAGACTTTTGGAGATTCCGAATTCATTTCCAAACTATGACTCCTATTCTAAAATAATCCCAAACTTTTGAACTTTCTAATTTTATTCCTAAACTTTTGAATGATTTTAAGAGACATTATTAAAATATTCAAAAGTTTAAGGACCGGTTTAAAATAAAAATAAAAATTTAATAATAAATATAAAATATTTAAAAGTTTAAAGACTATTCTAAAATGAAAGTCAAAATTTAAACTCATTAATTTAACTGTTTTTTTTTTCAATCATATAAATTCATAATATTTTTTGGAAATATTGGTCCTTACATGGGCCTGATATTTTGGGCGTTTTGGTTTGTTTAAGAGCACTTGTATGTTTCCTTAGAACCTACCATGAAAGCCCATTTACCCTCTAAAACCCTAACGTCTAGAAGGTTCTATCATCCTCCAAATCTAGAATCCCCGAAGCCAGTATATCATTATATCATCCGACTCTGTTTCTCTCTCTCATTTGCTGGAGAACCCTTCGAGAATTTCAGATCAATTCTACAATGGCGAAGCGTTTGATTCCAACACTCAACAGGGTTCTTGTTGAGAAAATCCTCCCTCCTTCCAAAACCACCGCCGGCATTCTCTTGCCCGAGAAATCCACCAAGGTACTTTCCTTTCTCTTTCGATCTCTTTTTCTGTCCCCCGTTTTAATGTAATCCAAGGATTCTGCTTCATTTGAAACAGCTGAACTCCGGGAAAGTGGTGGCCGTGGGTCCGGGAGCAAGAGTCAGGGAAGGGAAAACGATTCCAGTTCCTTTCAAAGAAGGGGACACTGTTCTTTTGCCTGAGTTTGGGGGCTCCCAAGTCAAGCTTGGCGACAAAGAGTACGCCCATTAATCTATTTTTTTAATATATTTTATCGTTATAATTTGTTTGGTTTAAAAAGCTCATCATTATCTGGGTTTTTTTTATTTGGCAGGTTTCATTTGTACAGTGATGAAGATATTCTGGGCACTCTCCATGATTGATCGATTGGAGTTGCAATGAGGCATTGGCTTTGTTTATTGTTTCTGGGTTTAATTAAGTTGGACGGAACTGATTAATCATCTTTGTTAATGGAAAGCGGAAAGTTTTACTTTTAAAGTTCTACTCTTTGGTAATGACATTGTTATAATCTGCTTGCACTATCCATGTTTGATTAAGGACGCGATTTTCGATTGAAGTATTATAATCGAACGTGTAAAACTGATTTAATTAAGTTGGTCGGAACTGATTAATCATCTTTGTTCATTGTTTCTGCCCCGATTGCATGTGTCATACAGACGGATCGGTAAAAGCGAGATCGTCGTCTCCTATGTGATCTTCCCAAAGGATTTTTGATGGGAGAATGTATCCTGTTCTGTAAAAATAGTTGCGTAGTTACAGAGGTCAAGTCGTATACGATGTCCGGATAACAAAAGCCCCGACGCATTTGCCATCGGAGGGATGACCCCGGTGTTAACCAGACCGGATATTGTTTTGTGGTTTTACCGTTGCGGGAACTAACAAACTGTTAACTACACATTATATTCTTTTTTGGTTCTCACTTTCCATCCATTTTGCACTACAAATACTTTCGAATTTCATGAAAGACCAAGAAACCCAAAAGACGAAATGCCAAAAGAAAGTAAAGACAGGCCATCGAAACAAAACTATAACGGAGGCGGAGGCGGAGGTGGAGGCTACTCTTGTGGCTTGTGCGTTTTCATTCTCCTCCTCTTATTAGGAGACAAAGCACTTAGCCTATGGCTTATCTACCATCCCCACAAGCTTTGTTGCATCATCATAAGCGCCGTCATATACCAACTCAATGCCACCTCCCAACCTTTCATTTCCACTTCCATATAATTTACCACAGTCACACGAAACCCAGTAGGAGAGTCTCCATCCTTTAGGACAAATTGCAAGCTTATGTTTTGTACAAAACCAATAGATCACTCCCCCACTGGACTTACCACCACTGTTTCACGAGACGAAGGCCACGGTGACGTTTTCTTCGGTATTCAAGATTGCCTCTAAGAGCTTACACTTAGTTACTTATTTGGATTTGTTTATTATTTTTTAATTGTCACATAATATTTTCGTTAAAGGATTAACGAAAATTAACGATTGAGGGACTAAAATCAAAAGGGTCGATAACGTTAAAGACTAAAATCGAACAAATCAATAACGTTACCGATCATATACCTTTAATTTTTAAATTAGTGACTAAAATCAATCCGAACTAAAATAAAATGAAATATTAGCCTAGGTTACCCTTTTCATAATTATTAGACTTTTTCTTTTGCCTTAGGCTTCCAACAAATCACACTTCTGATATTCCATAGGTGGGCAACTCTAATTCGTTTTTATCGAAATAAAATACTAGGAACATTTGATACGTACGCACTTTAAGCACCGATTTACAATCCTTCTCTGTCGGAACCAAAAGCAACCGCCATGGGAATCGTCGGGAATCTCGCTCCACAGCAGCGCCAATCTTTCGACGATCGAGGTCAACGCCACCGCTTCTTTGAACAAAATATTTTCTTTTCAAAATCCACCTGCCACTGGTTTTTTCTTAAAGAGTATGTTTTGCAGGTTTTATTGTGATTGAATCATTTGCGAGCACTGAAGAAATTGAAGCTATGAGGAAAAGGATGGACGAATTGCTTCAGGACTTTGACCCCACCACCACTGCTTCTATTTTCTCCACCAAAAATCAGGTCTTTTTTTTCTTGGAGCAATTGTAATATATTTGGAATTATAACTTTAAATTTTGATAATTTGTGAATATGGTTTTTTTTATTTGTAGTTGAAGTTGACCAATGAATACTTCTATGAAAGTGCTGAAAAGATCTCCTTTTTCTTTGAAGGTATGCTTTTTTTTTTTATTGTTGCTTTCATACTTTTCTGCACTCTTTTAGCTTTTCTTTTGTTTCTTTGGTCTTAATTTTACTTTGAGAAAATCAAATTTCTTTTGGGATATATGAACCTGCTGTTAGTTTTGAAAGTGAAAGGTATGGATGTTATGAATTTCTTGCAAAAGCTTTAAAGGGTAAAACTTGATTCTTTATTGCTTCTACATGTAATCTACTGTATAAAGCACCTACACTTTTCTCAAATGGTTATTAGTGAGCAGGAGAGTTGTTTTTGGTTACTTTGACGACTTCTATTTTTTCTTTCTTTCCTTCCTTCCTTTCTTTCTTTTGTTGTTTTGGCAGAGAAAGCATTTGATGATAAGGGAAATTTAAAGCAATCGAAGGAGCTTTCTATTAATAAAGTTGGGGCATGGTACGTGATTTTGGAAACTTAATGTGTTTTGTTATGCTCTTATTTGGCAACACGCTCATGTAAATAAATTATAGGTATGTTTATTGAGCTAATCCATGGTTTTATTCGTTTGTGCAGCGCTACATGAGATTGACCCAGTTTTCAAAGAATTTCCTTGCTCTGAGAAAGTTTCAAGTTTGCTCTTCTCCTTAGGAATTTGCAAAGTTTACTGAAAAATTCATATCACTAAATTTAACAAAGTAACAGCAAGGTCAACTAGGACCCACTAACAGGACACAGGTTTCTCATTGACTGGATATTCGAATTACATTATATAAATAAAAGAATCAACCTATATGAGCCAATACACGATTTGACTCTAAAGTTGAACTATTAAGTTCAAGCAACTAAAATCACTTGGGAGTTGAAATTCTAAGGTCACCAGCAAAGGGTGTTATCATTAGGTATACGTTGTCTTCATTGTCAAGTAAGAAACAATTTAAATACCTTAAAAATATACATAGACTGCATGATCACTGGCCTCTTATATCCTAAGGAGAAGAGCATATTGCAAACGAACTAAATGTTGGAGGATTGTATTGCAAGTTTTAAAAGTTGAGGGACCTAAATGAAAGTTTTAGAAAAGTTCAATGACCATTACTATACTTTACCCTTAAATTAAATTAAAAAGTATTTCAGTTCAGTTTTAGTAGATTTATTTACTTAACAATGAAACTAAAAGTAAATCAAATTTAATAAAGCTAACCGAAATCAAATTAAATTATTGTGATTTCAATCGTTTTTTTTTATTTTTTAAGTTAACTATACTATATGTTCTCAAACTATAACTTTTATTCTAAATTGGTCCTTAAATTTTTGAACATTTTAGTTTCATATTTAAATTATAACTCTTATTCCTAGCTCTAGACTTTTGGAGATTCCGAATTCATTTCCAAACTATGACTCCTATTCTAAAATAATCCCAAACTTTTGAACTTTCTAATTTTATTCCTAAACTTTTGAATGATTTTAAGAGACATTATTAAAATATTCAAAAGTTTAAGGACCGGTTTAAAATAAAAATAAAAATTTAATAATAAATATAAAATATTTAAAAGTTTAAAGACTATTCTAAAATGAAAGTCAAAATTTAAACTCATTAATTTAACTGTTTTTTTTCAATCATATAAATTCATAATATTTTTTGGAAATATTGGTCCTTACATGGGCCTGATATTTTGGGCGTTTTGGTTTGTTTAAGAGCACTTGTATGTTTCCTTAGAACCTACCATGAAAGCCCATTTACCCTCTAAAACCCTAACGTCTAGAAGGTTCTATCATCCTCCAAATCTAGAATCCCCGAAGCCAGTATATCATTATATCATCCGACTCTGTTTCTCTCTCTCATTTGCTGGAGAACCCTTCGAGAATTTCAGATCAATTCTACAATGGCGAAGCGTTTGATTCCATCACTCAACAGGGTTCTTGTTGAGAAAATCCTCCCTCCTTCCAAAACCACCGCCGGCATTCTCTTGCCCGAGAAATCCACCAAGGTACTTTCCTTTCTCTTTCGATCTCTTTTTCTGTCCCCCGTTTTAATGTAATCCAAGGATTCTGCTTCATTTGAAACAGCTGAACTCCGGGAAAGTGGTGGCCGTGGGTCCGGGAGCAAGAGTCAGGGAAGGGAAAACGATTCCAGTTCCTTTCAAAGAAGGGGACACTGTTCTTTTGCCTGAGTTTGGGGGCTCCCAAGTCAAGCTTGGCGACAAAGAGTACGCCCATTAATCTATTTTTTTAATATATTTTATCGTTATAATTTGTTTGGTTTAAAAAGCTCATCATTATCTGGGTTTTTTTTATTTGGCAGGTTTCATTTGTACAGAGATGAAGATATTCTGGGCACTCTCCATGATTGATCGATTGGAGTTGCAATGAGGCATTGGCTTTGTTTATTGTTTCTGGGTTTGATTAAGTTGGACGGAACTGATTAATCATCTTTGTTAATGGAAAGCGGAAAGTTTTACTCTTTGGTAATGACATTGTTATAATCTGCTTGCACTATCCATGTTTGATTGAGGACGCGGTTTTCGATTGAAGTATTATAATCGAACGTGTAAAACTGATTTAATTGAGTTGGTCGGAACTGATTAATCATCTTTGTTCATTGTTTCTGCCCCGATTGCATGTGTCATACAGACGGATCGGTAAAAGCGAGATCGTCGTCTCCTATGTGATCTTCCCAAAGGATTTTTGATGGGAGAATGTATCCTGTTCTGTAAAAATAGTTGCGTAGTTACAGAGGTCAAGTCGTATACGATGCCCGGATAACAAAAGCCGACGCATTTGCAAATCGGAGGGATGACCCCGGTGTTAACCAGACCGGAGATTGTTTTGTGGTTTTGCCGTTGCGGGATCTAACAAACTGTTAACTACACATTATATTCTTTTTTGGTTCTCACTTTCCATCCATTTTGCACTACAAATACTTTCGAATTTTATGAAAGACCAAGAAACCCAAAAGACGAAATGCCAAAAGAAAGTAAAGACAGGCCATCGAAACAAAACTATAACGGAGGCGGAGGCGGAGGTGGAGGCTACTCTTGTGGCTTGTGCGTTTTCATTCTCCTCCTCTTATTAGGAGACAAAGCACTTAGCCTATGGCTTATCTACCATCCCCACAAGCTTTGTTGCATCATCATAAGCGCCGTCATATACCAACTCAATGCCACCTCCCAACCTTTCATTTCCACTTCCATATAATTTACCACAGTCACACGAAACCCAGTAGGAGAGTCTCCATCCTTTAGGACAAATTGCAAGCTTATGTTTTGTACAAAACCAATAGATCACTCCCCCACTGGACTTACCACCACTGTTTCACGAGACGAAGGCCACGGTGACGTTTTCTTCGGTATTCAAGATTGCCTCTAAGAGCTTACACTTAGTTACTTATTTGGATTTGTTTATTATTTTTTAATTGTCACATAATATTTTCGTTAAAGGATTAACGAAAATTAACGATTGAGGGACTAAAATCAAAAGGGTCGATAACGTTAAAGACTAAAATCGAACAAATCAATAACGTTACCGATCATATACCTTTAATTTTTAAATTAGTGACTAAAATCAATCCGAACTAAAATAAAATAAAATATTAGCCTAGGTTACCCTTTTCATAATTATTAGACTTTTTCTTTTGCCTTAGGCTTCCAACAAATCACACTTCTGATATTCCATAGGTGGGCAACTCTAATTCGTTTTTATCGAAATAAAATACTAGGAACATTTGATACGTACGAACTTTAAGCACCGATTTACAATCCTTCTCTGTCGGAACCAAAAGCAACCGCCATGGGAATCGTCGGGAATCTCGCTCCACAGCAGCGCCAATCTTTCGACGATCGAGGTCAACGCCACCGCTTCTTTGAACAAAATATTTTCTTTTCAAAATCTACCTGCCACTAGTTTTTTCTTAAAGAGTATGTTTTGCAGGTTTTATTGTGATTGAATCATTTGCGAGCACTGAAGAAATTGAAGCTATGAGGAAAAGGATGGACGAATTGCTTCAGGACTTTGACCCCACCACCACTGCTTCTATTTTCTCCACCAAAAATCAGGTCTTTTTTTTCTTGGAGCAATTGTAATATATTTGGAATTATAACTTTAAATTTTGATAATTTGTGAATATGGTTTTTTTTATTTGTAGTTGAAGTTGACCAATGAATACTTCTATGAAAGTGCTGAAAAGATCTCCTTTTTCTTTGAAGGTATGCTTTTTTTTTATTGTTGCTTTCATACTTTTCTGCACTCTTTTAGCTTTTCTTTTGTTTCTTTGGTCTTAATTTTACTTTGAGAAAATCAAATTTCTTTTGGGATATATGAACCTGCTGTTAGTTTTGAAAGTGAAAGGTATGGATGTTATGAATTTCTTGCAAAAGCTTTAAAGGGTAAAACTTGATTCTTTATTGCTTCTACATGTAATCTATTGTATAAAGCACCTACAATTTTCTCAAATGGTTATTAGTGAGCAGGAGAGTTGTTTTTGGTTACTTTGACGACTTCTATTTTTTCTTTCTTTCCTTCCTTCCTTTCTTTCTTTTTGTTGTTTTGGCAGAGAAAGCATTTGATGATAAGGGAAATTTAAAGCAATCGAAGGAGCTTTCTATTAATAAAGTTGGGGCATGGTACGTGATTTTGGAAACTTAATGTGTTTTGTTATGCTCTTATTTGGCAACACGCTCATGTAAATAAATTATAGGTATGTTTATTGAGCTAATCCATGGTTTTATTCGTTTGTGCAGCGCTACATGAGATTGACCCAGTTTTCAAAGAATTTTCTTGCTCTGAGAAAGTTTCAAGTTTGCTCTTCTCCTTAGGATATAAAGAGGCCAGTGATCATGCAGTCTATGTATATTTTTAAGGTATTTAAATTGTTTCTTACTTGACAATGAAGACAACGTATACCTAATGATAACACCCTTTGCTGGTGACCTTAGAATTTCAACTCCCAAGTGATTTCAGTTGCTTGAACTTAATAGTTCAACTTTAGAGTCAAATCGTGTATTGGCTCATATAGGTTGATTCTTTTATTTATATAATGTAATTCGGATATCCAGTCAATGAGAAACCTGTGTCCTGTTAGTGGGTCCTAGTTGACCTTGCTGTTACTTTGTTAAATTTAGTGATATGAATTTTTCAGTAAACTTTACAAATTCCTATGGCAGTTAAGCCTGTAAATGAACTGAACGTTCAGCGAACTGTTCATGAATCGTGCGGCGGAAAGTTCGTTTATGTGTGTTTATTTATTAAATGAACGAACATGAATAAGATTTTGTGTTCGTTTAATTAAATGAACGAACATGAACATAGGTCTCATTCGTTCATTTACGTTCGTGAACGTTCGGTTATGTTCGTTCGGTTATGTTCTCTTATGTTCATTCATTTATGTTTAACCCAATCTTCTTAAATCAATTTTGGTGACCAATTTGTAAGTATCTTAAAAATATTAATTAATCTGATATTCTGATGACCAATTCCATAATTAACCTAATTTTATTTGGAGATTAAATCCAATATGTTAACCCGTGAGACACCTCACACCTATATTCATTTCCCCCATTTTTTCCCAAACTCTAGTGTTCACTAGAGAGTGGAGACGATCGCTGAAAGCTTCAAAACAAGTTATATAATAGTGTAATATGAAGTTTTACAGATATGCTTTCATCTCTTTCTCTGTTTTATTTGACTTAATAGTTGATATGTAAAGTTATTGATGAGATCTTCACATCTAAAACTCAAAAAAACATTATACTTCTTTCTAGAAATAGATGAGAAGATAAAGGTAACAATCGGAAGTATATGAGCATCAGTAAAGAGAAAAATATATAGAATTTACCAGAAAATAAAACAAAGGTTTCTATGTAATTTCTGCAAAAGAGTGTAATAGCGGAAGTAATGAGTTTTCCAGGAAGAACCCATTAATAAGTAGAAAATACACTTTGACAATGAACTTTTGTTTTCATAGTTCTTGTGTAACATTTAGTTGTGGAGTAGACTTTAGGTACATTAAAATTTTGAATGGTGGTTTAGCAATAATATCAGTTACAATATGTAGCATCGAAGGGATTTCGGATCTATGTTATTGCCTTGTAGTCCAATTTGTACCGTTCGAAATCTTCATGCTGTTAAATTTTCTACTCTGCCAACGAAAATGACCATTATTAACAAACCTCACTAAAGTTTGACATTGATGTCACAAAACTTTTAGCCGGCGAATTTATTAGAATAACGTAGTGGAAAATGATTGTTCATATGTAATCATGGACCACTAAGATAAATGTTATATCGTTAAATTAAAGTCGTGTGAATCATTTAATATCTTTAAAAGATCGATCGAAATATTTAATATCTTCAAACATTTCATCACTGCTAATCAACTCTTACGCTATTTATCACTGTAGATTTAGTTGATTTATATTGTCGACTATTTTTCATGAAAGAACAATGGAAGGTAGGATCTCCAACGTTTATGTTCGTTTATGTTCGTGTTCATTTGTGTTCGTGTTCGTTTATGTTCGTGTTCGTTTATATTCGTTTATTTATTAAATGAACGAACATGAACAAGTTATATTTCTTAATAAACGAACGTGAATAAAAAAAATTTTGTTCGTTTATGTTCGTGTTCGTTTATGTTCGTTTATTTATTAAATGAACGAACATGAACATACCTCCGTTCGTGTGCGTTCGGTTCGTTTACAGGCCTGGCAGTGAGGTTTTGTTTGGTGGCTGTTTTGTTTTATTCTGGTGCTTTCTTCTCCCATCGAGTATATTCCGTAAAACAAGATGATGGGAGTGGTTAATCGAATAATTTTGTTATCTTCATTTGAAAGATGTAAACATTTTGTTCTGATATGATGGCAGATTATTTTGATGCTTTTACTTCTTTTTTTTATAAGCAATGTTACTTGGGCTATTCATTTTCCTTCAAGTGCTCATGTGCTACACATACAAGGACATTTTAACAGTTTCACACCTCTCAACCATCCTTTTGTTTCTAAATGGAGTATAGGATGCTTATACTTGTTTCCCCAAATGGAAATGCAACCTTCTGTATCCCTTTCAAACAGAAACACAGACTGCTAATCCTGTTAATAGATGAAGATTTGAATGCTGTCTGGTTTGTAATGAAGTTTGAATCTTATATCCCGTCTAAATGGATTTTGTTTGAATACTGAACTTCGAGGAGTAGTACTTATATGGTCCATTTTGACAGCAACAGAGTATAGGTGGTGAAGTAACTCCTCACCAGGTATACTGAACCTAAAACTTGCACTGGTCTGTGGCTCGCTCTAGAGGATGCAACGGTTGTTAACGGCTGCCTTTGGGCCATTCCTGAATCTCAAAAAAGTATCCTTTTTTACTTTACCCTGTCTGCAACCTTTTAAAGTATATAAACAATCCCTTATTTTTATCTGCTCTATTTTTTGTTTCCAGATGGTCTTGTAAGAAGGTTCATTAGGGGTGAAGATGGTTTTCTTTGATAGGCCCTCACAATCTTATGACCAGAATGATTTTGTGCCTATTGAAGTGAAAGCCGGGTCTTTAGTCGTAATTCATGGGGATCTTATTCATCAAAGGTTAGTTCAAAGAATTATATCTAGAGTTCATCCAGCTTAATGGCCTAATGGCTAACCGTTTGCGTTTTTTTGTTTATGCTGGTACTATAGCTTTGAAATCAATCTACAAAATCGCGGCATGCATACAGCTTGCATGTGGTAGATACTGACGGCTGCAAGTGGGCAGAAGATAATTGGTAAGTAATTAGATCATTTATGCGTATCTTCACCAAATTTTGAGGTGGTTCATCTTTTTATGCACCACAGTTCCATTCATTCTTCATAGGATTAACATATTATCTTTCCCAAGGTGCTGATAATAAACATTTTCCTTTTATCTGACGAATCTTATTGATCTAGATGATGTAATCCATAGGTAATTTGACTGTCTTAGTGTTGCTTGAAAGCTTATGCTATAGCACCAGCGACAATTTTCCTTGTCGTATTGATATGCTAGGGTAATGTGTAAAGACATTTAACTTTGTATTTGTGTGAAGTGTATATCCTCATAGGGAAAACAATATTCCGATTGAGAGAATATCGAATTCATCTGATATTCCTTGGTCTTCTGATCATTCCAAATTGTATGTAGTAACCATTGAAGTTTGCATCAGTTTTTCATTATATTCACAAGAAATGTGATGCCATAGATGAAAAAAGTAGTATTCTTTAGTTATCTAGAAGAGATATGGATGCGGTTTATGTGATGATTGATCAATGTTTTCGACTTGATCTTTTCACCTTTTCAGGATCCAAAGAAAAGTCGAGCCAGAGCCCCTTTACACTTCTTGATCAAACTCAGGAATTCATCCCCGGAAATTCACTGGCAGCCTCAGCTTGGCAGGACGGGAATGAAGGTTAAGGAAGCAGGGAAGAAAAGGCATGGAGCTTTCATATGCCTATTAAAAAAAATATTCATACTCTTGTTGCAATATGTACATTATCGGATAATGCTTATTATTTGTTGTTTGGACGTATCAGATATTAGCACGTATCGGACATGAAGATTTCAAGACAAATAAAAGTTCGCTCACCATATTATATACTGAAGGACTCAAATTTCCATCATCTATATAGTTGATTATTTATCGACCCTTCGACAATATTGGTAATTGCATGGAGTTGTCAATCTAACGTGCAAAAACTTGATTTCAGCGCTATAGAGATGACAGATAATTGAACGTGAAAGCAAGGCATGCATGCATATTTCTTCAAAATCAAAGCTATACAAATAAAAAGGCTATGGATTCTGATTTGAATGCTGAGATATGGGAGTTAAAAGGGGTATATAATTTTCCCAAAAAAGATTGGAGCTTTCTTCTTTATTGAAGGATGGGTCTACCACTAGTCCACTACTACTACTCTATCTGTGCAAACTGATTTTGAAGGATTCCCACTACCATCACCCCCTCAACTGTTCCACTCAGCTAAATTTTCCCATCCTTTTTTCTGAAGTTCATGGCGTGAGAGATTGTGTTTGTCCTCATTGACTGCAAAATAAATAAAATCAGAGTAAAAAGAAACACAAGGACAATCCCCTTGGCTTCCCCATTTTTGGCCATTTCCAATTAATGCTGGCCCCTCCCAGACCTTCATTTTCTCGGCAATACGCGCTTTCTCCCCCAGTTTCTTGCATACTTTTCTCTGCTTGTTTCATGTCCTGCATGCAGACATTTAGCTGCAGAAGTTTCTGTGACAAAGTTTCAATTGGCATCTTTTATCGTATGCAAAGACCAAGGGAGTTTTTTCTTGACATTTTTATGTTCTAATTTAAAGCTTATGTTGCTGGTGATTGAATGAATATGTCTGGGTATTTCAAGTGGTGAAAGGACAAAAACAATCTAACAGATGTATCGTCAAGTTCAACTCTTTGCTTCCGTTTTTCACCTTTTGCTGTTAAAAAGATCAGTAATCACCGAATAACTATGATTCTACAGTGTAATATGGAAAACTTGAATCGAGTCGAATTTTAGTTATTTCTCCTAGGAATATATGGGAATTGAACATACATGAGAAAAAAAATTATCACTGACATTAACGTATACCTGAAAACCCTCACCAGATATATGCAGTTCAAGTTTTAGGTCACTTTTACGTCAAATCTCTTTTCATATCTTTCTCCTGTTCCTATGTCTCCCCATTCTCTTTCATTTTTTTAAGGGTAAAGTATAGTAATGGTCACTGAACATTTCTGAAACTTGCATTTAGGTCCCCCAACATTTAAAACTTGCAATACAATCATCCAACATTTATTCCGTTTGTAATATGGTCCCCAACTTAAACCACAGTTAGAAAATTAGGATAAATTATATAAACAGTCATTGAACTTTTCAGTCACTTGAATTTCGGTCCCCCAACTTTTAAAACTTGCAAAACAGTCATCAATTTCATTCTAAACCCCAATTTCCAAAGTAATTCAATTTTATTCTAAACCCTAAATTCTAAAATACTTCAATTAAATTCTAAAATACTTCAATTTAAGGTAATATAGGCTTGAAGAAAGAGTTCAAGGCACATACACACCGAATAAAAATATATTTATATAAATGTATATTTATATTTAGATGTATAAATAAAAAATATATTCATATATTAATGTATGAATCATTTATATTTTTTGAATATTTTATTTTTAATAATAAATTAAAATTATTAATTATATTAGAAATACTCAACTTAAGATTATATATATAATCATGAATTATAAATATGAAAAATATAATTATTAAATTTAGTTTAAAAATATAAATCTTAAATTTATTCTTTTAAAATATTGTATCAACTAATATTTAAAAAATATATTAAATCTATCAAACAATTTATCAAATATAATATTTTTTTATTGTAAAAAATATAATATTTTCCCATCATTTATTGCTTTCAAATTTTTGCCGAAGTTCAAATCTCATTATTTCCATTTACATTATATTCTTTTTTTTCTCGCATTGGTCATACTATTAGTATATGTATTATTGTATATCTCTTAACACAAACGATGGTGTTAGCTCAGTGGCTCCACCCTATATCTTTCATTTGCGTGACTCAGGTTTGAGTTTGCCCAAGACCCAAATTTTCTTTTTAACTTAATTTTCTTCTAATTAGGAGGTGACATGTGTCACCAATAACACATATCATGACATGTGTTAACACATGTCAGATCCTGATTAAATGATTAATTTATTAAATTTTATTTAATTTAGGACCAAATTGATAGCATATATAAATAATTAGGTGGTAACGCGTGTCACCAATGACACGTCATGATCATGTGCTAACACATGTCAGATCCTAATTAAATGATTAATTCATTAAATTTTATTTAATTTAGGACCAAATTGATTATAAATAATAAAGACTGAATGTATAATAATGTCAATTCCTTTTAACTGTCATCATCATTTTTATCAATTGGTAACGACTAGTGGCTTAGTTGAAACAGTTAAATAATTATGTGGTATGATTGATAAATTTAAAAGATCGATGACAAAAGTAAAAAGGGCTAGATAGTTAAGTTGTCAACCGAGTAGTTTACACTTTTATTATACGTCAAAATAACATTTTATAAATTAAAATTCGAATTATTTTCAACCTCTTTTATATCCTAACTACTTTTTTTAATTAAAAAATTTCTTCAACAGATAAGAATTATACTATTATATTTATATAAAAAATATGTATCACATGAAATAAGATGAAATTAAATAATAATAACTTTGACATAATTGAATTTAATTTAAGTATTTTGGAATTTAGGGTTTAGAATAATTGAATTACTTTGGAAATTGGGGTTTAGAATGAAATTGATGATTGTTTTGCAAGTTTTAAAAGTTGTGACCTAAATTCAAGTGACTGAAAAGTTCAATGACCATTTATATAATTTATCCTAATTTTCTAACTGTGGTTAAGTTAGGGACCATATTACTAACGGAATAAATGTTGGGGGACTGTATTGCAAGTTTTAAATGTTGGGGACCTAAATGCAAGCTTCTGAAATGTTCAGTGACCATTACTATACTTTACCCTTTTTAATTGTTCATGTAAAATGGACAATAATGTCGACAAAGAAATTAAAACCCTGCAATTTGCATTGTTTAAAGGGTAAAGAAATATGAAAGGGGGGCTCTTTCCTTGGGTTTATGCAGCATGATCCAATATGTATTTTAAGGCAAAACTCCCCAAAAATTAACTACATGTCCTTGTCTTCACAGTTGCACCGTGCGTGACAGGCACAACATGAAACAGTCCCTAGTTTGTCGCAAAAAAAAAAAACAAAACTAACGACAGGCTTAACTGTTAACCATCTTTCTTAACTCAAATGGAAAAACTAGTATTTATTTTCTGCATATCTGTTGCCCAAATGCTGAGCTTTAGCTAATAGCTACCCACCGGCCACCACCTCCTCGTGTTCTTGTTCAGTTCTTCAGAGGAAGAAACTCGAATTATCGTGTTGTTGTAGTTATGGCTGTGATGGGAACTTGTTGGTGGGTGTCATTTGCTGATATTAATGCCGGTTCCAAGTGGAAACAGCTCGAGGGTCTGTCTTGTCGGTTGTCTTCTCGAGAGTGATGTTCTTTTCTTGGTGGAGTTTCAATGGACATGAATTTCCCGTGTCTGATGAAGATGTTCCCGAACAAGACAGCTTCAAGCGTAGTTCCTTGTCGTGAATTGCATCCACTTGTTTCCTCCATTTTCAGTAATTCCACGTGTATCTATAGGTTACCTGCCGGTTCCTTCTTTTCCAAGCTATAGGCGGGATGATACTGTTGTTGTGATCGGGAGTCTTGTTAAGTTGACGGCGGCGTCATTGACGTTCTCTTGCTTTATGGTCTGGAACCAGTAGAAAACGTTCTTCCGAACCTCTGAAGCAGTGCCGCGATTTGTTGGATTTGCGCCGTGGACGGCGTCCGTGTGGCGCGTCGATAAAGCTCCTCGAGTGTCAGTAACTGCTCCGGCGTTGGATCCAACGTGAACTCCTGGCTGTTGACTTCCCTCGTTGCATTACCACTGTATCAGCAACAAGAAATCACACACACACACATATCAGTGTTAACAACAAGAAATAATGAATGAAAAGTTTAGAAGAAAAGGTGGGGTTACCGAAATCTCCATGATTGAAAGGTAAAAGGTTGGTGGGGTTAGTAGGGTTGCAATCAAAGGTGAAGGCTTTGCGTTGTTGAATGAAAGAGATAAGCTGAGGTCAATAATATGGGGTATCCATTTTTATTTTATTTTGACGAAGCAACAAGCACAGATTACTGGTTTTTGTTGTTGTGAAGTTTGTGTGTGTGTATATATATATATATATCATCAATTTAAGGAACACTTATCTGTAATATTATATCTCGCTTTCTCTCCCTAGATAGATAGATTGAGGTAAAAGGGAAAGTAAACATGGTTATGTAAAAATCAGTTTGTGTAGTAAAATAAGATAATAGATTTCTTAAGTGTTAGAGATTTGAATCTGATGTTGTGAATGATAATTTGAGCTATGAATATCGTATTATAATTAATGTAAGTTGTATCCAATTCGAATTAATAAATCAAAATACTAAGTTGAACTTTAGCCAAGTTCAGCAAGTTCACTTGAAAAGAACAAGATTAAGGTAATACCAAAGAACATTTCATTGGTTAACATTCACGGAGCCACATCAGGATTCTTAAAACCAATAAGTCATACAAAAAGCTTGCCCTTTATTTCCCCAAGCATCAACATTCTAAAAATCAGAAGCAAACACAAAAATGGGTTCTCAAAACACAATCAAAAGAGACAACTTGACACAAAAATGTGAGAACAAAACATTTGTCTTTTGATTGAAGTCTGAACCCATCATGCTCTTTCAGAAAGAGCCTGTGCTGGACGTATGGCTCGTGGGCTATCTTTAACTACCATTGGGTTGTTTGTT